AAGTTGAAAAAGTCAATCGGATGTTGACTTGTGTGAAAAAGGGCTCGAATGTGAATTCCGATGGTTCGAAGAGCTTCGGGAGGTGATTTGGGACTTAGGAGCGTGATCGGAATGTGTTTTGGAGGTCTGGAGTAGATTTAGGCTTGAATTGGCGAAATTGAAATTTTGGCGTTTTCCGGTTGATAGGTGAGATTTTGATATAGGGGTTAGAATGGAATTCCGGAAGTTGGAGTAGGTCCGTTGTGTCATTTGTGACGTGTGTGCAAAATTTTAGGTCATTCGGACGAGGTTTGATAGACCTTTTGATCGAAAGCGGAATTTGGAAGTCTTTGGAATTCTTAGGCTTGAATCCGATGTCAATTTGGTATTTTGATGTTGTTTTGAGCGTTCTGAGGGTTGGAACAAGTTTGAATAAGGTTATGGGATATGTTGGCATGTTTGGTTGAGGTCCTGAGGGCCTCGGGTGAGTTTCGGGTGGCTGAACGGATCATTTCATGTTGGAAAAAGTTGCAGAAAAACTGTTGTTGGTGTTGCAGGCATTTGGGCTTCGCGTTCGCGATCGATGTCCCGCGTTCGCGAAGGGTTAGAGTGTGAGGCAGGAGGTTTGGCCTTCGCGTTCGCGATGGATGTCCCGCGTTCGCGAAGGGTTGGGTCCAGTACTCATCTCGTTCACGATGGTTATGCCGCGTTCATGTAGAGTAAAGGTGAGCAGCTGAGGTCCTGGAGAAATGTTCTTCGCGTTCGCGAGCTGGTAGTCGCATTCGCGATGGGTTGAGAAGCTAAGGCTTCGCATTCGCGTACAGGGTGTCGCGTTCGCGATGAAGGGATAAGTGGTCAACGGGATTTTGTGCTTCGCGAATGCGAGGCGTTGATCGCGTTCGCGAAGAAGGAATGTGAATAGCTGGGCAGAATGTTTACAAGACCACTTTCGCGATTTTTGGCCATAGTTCACCATTTTTGGCTTGGCTTGAGGTAAGTAACGCTTCCAATCTTGGTTCTGCAGGTTCAAAACCCCGAACTATGTGTTTCATGATCATTATGAAGGTGACGCCATGCCAAGTGACGGGCGTATGGGCGTGCACCGTGGGAAACGCGGCCTGGATCATTCCAGAACACCGCTTAGTGGTTCTTTCTTACCGATATTTGTGCTGTAATTATGTGATTTAGTTCTTGAGCTGTAAATGATGCTGATTATCATGTTAAGGCTTCACGTCGATATTATTGAGACCCAAGAGGTCGTTTCTTGCTGTCATATCATTTATTTTATTGATATTCTGTACTCAGTCCTTTCATGCATATTATATCCTGTCCTAGTCTCGATATTACTATTTGCCACATTTTATTGTTGACCGGGCTAGGATCATGACATTTAGAGCCCGTATGTGAGACCGGTGAGTTATAACTGAGTGAGGCGGAGAGCTTGCTATTGAGTGATAGTATGAGATTGGGCTGCACACCGCAGCGAGATATTGAACAAGCCTTCGTTGGCTTTGTTATAGCGCTTGGGCTAATGAGAGAAGCCCCTCCGGAGTCTTTACACCCCCAGTGAGCGCAGATGTTGATATCGAGGGATGGATCTTCCCTGGACATGGATCTTGTCCGAAGTATTATACCGAGAGATGGATCTTCTCTGTGATGCTGGATTGGCCTATGTCCTCGGTACTGGATGACTGCGGTCAGTGATGTACATTCCGGGATGGATTTTCCCTGGGCCGGATGGCCATATACAGTACCGAGGGGTTGAGTACTTGTGAATGGAGGTTCATGGAACATTGATCATGCTAGTTGTGCATTGGTATATGTAAAAATCTCTGAGTTTAGAACTTCGTACTGTTCAGTTGCATTTAAATACTATTGAACTTTACTTGAACTGTAAGCATGTCTACTTTTCCTGTTCAGTTATATGTTATTACCTGTTGAGGTTTGGTCTGTCACTACCTGTCAGTCCATAGGTTGGACTTGTTACTTACTGAGTTAGTGTACTCACATTACCCCCTGCACCTTGTGTGCAGATCCAGGTGTCTCGGGTCACGGTAGCGGCTGCTGATTATATTGTGCGGACTTTCACTTGGAGATTGCGAGGTAGCTGCTTGGCGACCGCAGTTCCGCCTTCTCCTTCCCTATCTTCCTCTAGTTTATATGTTGGATATCTTCAGACTGTACTAGTCTTGTTATTTCGGACCGTTGTATTAGTTTTTGCTCATGACTAGTGACGCCCGTTGTCGGGCTTGTATTTTCTTTCCGCTGGGTTTTGGAACTTCTATTTTTATATCATTGGATTTCTGTTAAAACATGATGTTTTCTTAAGCTTTTCAATTGGGAAATAGAGTAATTGGAAATGAGTGGCTGGCTTAATTCCACGATAGGCGTCATCACGACCGGGTCGGTTTTTGGGTCGTGGCAAGATAGATATTAAATTAAACAAGCTAACAATGTAATAATATTATGTATTGAATAATAGAATAGCAAAAATAAGGAATAAATAGAGAGAAATTAATCAAAACTTTCATCATAAAGAAAAACGATAAAACTTATTTAAATTTGAAATGGGAAAGTTGTTATTTATCTATTATGATAAGAAAGATGATATTGTGGATAATACCACGCAACTTATGTCTAAAAGATATAATAAGAACTTAAAAATATTAAAAACAAATTAGAAATAGCGTGAGAATATTTATGCTAAGATTAGTTTATAAAATAAAATAAAGTAAAATAAAATATTTAAAAATATTATTGATAAATTTAAATAACTTAAGAATTCAAGCAATATTTTTAAAATAAAATAGANTTTTAAGATTAAAAAATTTCTAGATTTATCGAACGAAGTAAAGGATAGTAATGGATAATAATACTAAATAAAGTGGCACCAAAAATTAAAGTCTTACTAGATATAGAAATAAAATTTAAAAAATATAAAATAAATATCTAATATAAGTAATTATATTAAGTAAAATTAAAAGTCAAATTTTGTATCTTGAAACTAAAAGAGAGTTTTTTTTATTGCATGTAATACAAAAAATAAATATAAAAAAACTTAATAGATTTGGAATATAATAATCAAAAAACTTATAAATTAATATTTTATACTAATCAAAGTTACAACTTAAAGTCAAATATGAGATTATTTTGATTACAGGTAAAATATTAATTAAGAATTTCTTAGTAGGGAAGAGACTGTATAAAGAAAAAAATAAATATAATGTGAGAATATTTATACTTTAAATTAATTAAAAATAAAATAAAGTAAATAATTGAATAATATTCAAAAATATTATTGATAGATTTAAATAGTAAAATAGTTCCAAGTAAGAGGATAAANATAATATAATAATTATAAGTAAAGAAAAATAATTTGTGTAAAATTTAAAAGAATAAGACTTATTTAAGCTTGAGATAAAAATTAACTAATACTGAGAATTTTATTAAAATAATATAATTTAATATGTTCAAACGAGAAAAATCACCACATGACATAGTTAGTAATTTTTAATATTGATAACGAAACGAAATTCAAGTACTAAAATTAACCTATTGGATTATATAAATATAAAAAAGAAAACAGGTTATCCACTATGAGATTTGCGAAATGGTTTCATGTCTTGCTTCTTAATTAATATCTAATGATTATCTATAAATTTTATCTCGAAGCTTTATAATTTAAAGTTATTTATACATAATTTAAATAATCCAAATCACAATCCGACATGATTTGTGTCCGCGCATCGCACGGGTACTAATACTAATTAAAATTAAGAAGCATTCTCTTGATAACAAGTCAATCAACCTTAATACGCCGCTTTTATTGGGTTAGCATGTCGTGGAAAAATAATATGTGAATACCATTCCTTATTTAATAATTAAAACAATTTTGTTTCACCATTTTCCACTATGAATAACAGAAATCCTTACTATATTCAGAAACCACGAATACGAAGAGAACAATATGGGAAAATATTACAAGTTTTTGCATATTTATTTGTGTCTCCAAAAGAAAAAAGAAAATTTTTCATTTTGGTTAATTGTTTTTTTCTACTTTTCATTATACTCTTTTCGTCAAAGTTTAGAAAACAAGAGTCAAAGCATCTACTAATTATCAATTTTTTTGTAAATAAAATGTACATATTTAAAAAACCAATAGAAAATACTTTAAATCCTAGATTTAACAATAAAAAGATGCTTAAAAATATTTGAAAGTTTGAAATAAAAGCAAAAATTAACTAACTCTTTCGATAATAATATTGTCTAAAAAATAAAGTAGAAAACATAATACTCCATATTTCCCTAGCTACTTTTCAAAATTAGGATAATGGTATACATTTTCGCATATCATGGTTCTTTTAAAAGTAGTTTTTAATATAATAATTCCATATCTCACTAATTCGATTAATCCTAATTTACAATGCATGAGTCACATCGAAAGAATAAAAAAAAATTATTTTTAAAGTTCAAACTCAAGACCTCTAATTATCCCATCTTGTTGCTTCCTTTAGTAGTCCAAAGTACTTCATTCATTCACTTTTAATTGTGTAAAACGTTTTGCACAATTAGAAATTGTGTAAAACGTATTTTACACCGTCTTTTAAAAAATAATAAATAAAGTATGTATTTTACTATAATATTTATAATAATGATAATATTTTATAACGTTTTAGAAAATAATTTAGGAAATGAGTAGTTAAAAAAAAGGATAAAATAGAAAAAAAATTAATTTTCTCTTGGTTTGCTAGAATGAACAAGTAAAAATATATTTTTAATATAATATATAAGTAAAAGTGAATATACTATATTTTCCATCCCAAAATAGAGTCAGCCTAGTGCATTAAGCTCCCGTTATGTAAGATGCTATTTTCACGGTTCAAACTCGTAACCTCCTAATCACATGGTAACAACTTTACCAATTACGCCAAGGCTACCTTGAGATCCATTTCAAAATAGAAAGAGGTAGAAATATGTAATTTAATTTTATACAGAAATCCACAGTCCACTTTTGACCACCTCACTCCTCTCTCTCTCTCTCTCTCTTCAGTCCTTCTCTCTCATCTGCAACACTTTGTACTGTGTGCGTGTGTGTGTACTGCTTCAGTTTTGGAAAATCAGATCAAAACGATATATTCCCCAATAATAGCTAGATTCTACTGCTTCACTTTTGAGCAAATCTCTCTGCCATTCTCTCTCCTAAAACACCTCTCTCTCTCATCAAAATCAGTGAAATTTACTCTCATTGTCAGCCCATTTACAGTTTCAGCTCTTTTAAATTTTTAAACCCATTTTCGGTTTATAAGCTTTGTGGCGTTGAGATTAAAGCAGTGTTTTGGTTTTCTGCATTTAAGAAACTGTTACTACAAATTCTTAAAGTCCTTGCAATTACTGAAGTTTATTTTCGTTTAATTTTTGAGAAATGGGTTTCTTCACTATTTGAAGAATTTTGAGCTGAAAGGAATGAATTCAGATGTCAACAGAGCTAGCGGAACAGTTGAAAGGGATATTGAACAGGTAAAAAGAAAAAAATTACTGTCTTATTCTTCCAATTTTTGTCATTATTTTAAGCCCCGTCAAACTATTGCTTATTACTACTATATACTACTATTATTTCTTCCTTGACATAAGTTTGGAGGATGCACTTTCGATTTTAATAATTAAAATATTGGTGTGCCCTAATGATCAATGAAGTGGTAGGAGTACTATGGGGTTTCGACTAGCGGCACTTTTGAGATGCTAGCTTGATTATATATATAAAAAAAGTCTTTTCAATTCCATTTGACTCGAGGCGTCAAGTTTAATTCCCAATGGAGGCGCAAAGAAATACTAGGTGATTTCTTTCGATCTGCCTATGCCCTAGTGGGAAAAGTTACCGGGTACCTGTGCTGGTAGGAAGTAACAACTATCCGATGGAATAGTGCACGCAAGCTAGTCCGGGTGCTACTGTTATAAAAATAAATAAATAAATTAGGTAGGTTCTCAAAATTCTGCTTGGCACCTATACTAAGTTAATTTATTCATCCCCTAATTTCCTTGCCTTCAATGTTTAACCACTCATGTTAAATGCATAATTAAGTAAATTAAAGTGTACTCTAATAATTTAAGCTTTTGGGTGAGATAGTTACACTTAAAAGGCAGCCCGGTGCACGAAGCATCCTGCGTTCACGCAGGGTTCGGGAAAGGGCCGCAACCCAAGGGGGTGTGATGTAGGCAGCCTATCATAATACAAACATCTGATTTCACGGCTCGAACCCATGATCTATAGGTCACGCGGAGATAACTTTACCATTGCTCTTAGGCTCCTCTTCAACATGGTATTAGAGCAGATAGAGGTCTTGTATTTTAGTCTTATCGCCACCCATTATAGAAAAAGAGCATACATATGCTTGGCCCAAGAATCAGACTGCACATTAGGGGGCGTGTTAAAGACATAATTAAGTAAATTAAGATGTATTCTCTCTAATAGCTTAAGCTTCTAAATGAGATGGTCATACGCCTAACACCTCATTTTGTATTCCTCTTCCTTAGTATGGGCTGCTTTATGGAACACTTACGTCCTCATTTGAAAAATAAGGTTTTGTTTTCTTCTTTGGGCATGGGGTGAATGGGCAATGGTGCCAAGATTTAGCTATGGTATTACAGCTTTTGGGAGAGAAAAGTTATGAACCTTGTTTACTGCAGTGGGTTAAGACAGAAGCAAGGTTCATTGGCTTGAAATTCCTATTGGCTTGAAATTCCTTTGCATTTGATTTATCTCAGGCGATAACTGCTCTAAAGAAGGGGGCATGTTTGCTGAAGTATGGAAGAAGGGGAAAGCCAAAGTTTTGTCCCTTTCGTCTGGCAAATGTAAGTATCATTTCATTCTTTGTTTAATTTTGTGCATATGGGTTGCTTTTCTTAGCCTTGAAATAATGAAATTCTATGCATCCCGACTCTGTAATCATATTAGCTATCCGAGTGCGAGAAGGGCGTCCATGTAGATCCAACTATAACGCAGTTTGGTGAGACCCCACATCTATACGTAACAAGAATCTATATCATTTATTTGAGAGACCGACATAGAGTTCTCCGTACTGGACGTAACACTGGCTGCTAGGAAGCACGTAATATGTGGGCATTGGCATCCTCACCCTGAATTTGATATATCAATGAAGCAAATTAGGACATTTCCCTTGATCTTTCTCCTTGATTTTACAGCCGAGTTGAAGTTTGTGGTATTTTGGCATATCTTCAGTTTTATGTGTCAGTGTGTTGATATTTCATCCTAAATGCCGTGTCAGTTTCTGATTAGTGATTGTTAATGTTTACTATCATAATTATACTTGTCAAAAAAGTAAAAGATGTTTACCATCATGATTGTAGTTTGTTCCTTTTTGTTACTCCGTCAGTTTTTGCATGCGTGTATCTCAGATTGAAGTAGTGTCCTTCAAATGATGAAAATAATACCACAGGTAAGAGAGTGTGGATTAGGAAGCTTGAAAAGTAAACATAGGTAATCAAAGCTCCTATAAACTCTGTGCCAATTTGGAAGTGCTACTATCCAAACTGCCATACGCTAAAGAGAAGCAAAAATAATCGCACTATCTCATGATAATAAATCAGAAAATGAGACTTAATAAAAAATTGGAAGTTTGAGTTCTCTTCCAAATGCCTACCTTACTGTGTCATCCAGAATTCCATAACTTCGATGTGGATAATCTATGCTCAGTGGATACACAATATTCATCAGAGATACCCATGTCAAGGTTCTTTGTTCACATTCGTGCAGCCACGTAACCATTGTGAAGTAGTGTTTTTGACTGCTGTTAGAATACATGTGGTAAACTTCATCCTAGGTAGTTTGTTCTTAGTTTCCTTGTTCCAGTAGTGCCAGCATTTGAGCTCATGTCTCTTACTTTCTGGGGTTTAAACCTAAAGGCTTTGAGGGATGGCCATTTCGTTAATTGTCATTGTGTATGACTGCTTATAGATAAACCTGTTATTGATATAAAATAATCCCATGCTTGCTGTGTGGATATCGGTTGTTCACTTTACCTTTCTTTATTGAGGTAGGAATTTACTACAGCAATTGTGCTCCTCTGAAACTTAGTGTTAGTTGAAGTAAATAATTTTGTCATTATGGTTTCAGGATGAGTCTGCTCTGATCTGGTTTTCTGGTAAAGAGGAGAAACACCTTAAGCTAAGTCACGTGTCAAGAATAATATCTGGACAGCGCACTGTAAGTTCCCTCTGCTGAAGATATTAATCTCCGTTCTACAACCTTTTTGACATGTATCTATTTGATTCTATTCTACAAATTTATCCATCTTTATATATCTCTTTTTGTGGTTTTAAAATGTATTTCGAAAAACTTATATGGTGAAAGGTCGTGTGCTCACTTCATTTCACCAAAGATTTATGTGGTTAAATGTATGGGCATTAGTGGCTTTCAGATGTTAACTGAAGTCAATGACAGATGAATTTTTAAGTTATCTTCAGTGTGGTAATTATCTTGCATCTTTTCTTGGCCCTTGAGCTTCTGTTTCAGCGAAAGTATAAAATGTTTTCTGTTATTTGGCACAAGCAATCCCCACTCTCTTTTCATCGGTGAACAGAAAGAAAGAAGCTAGGAGACTAGAAGTTCCTTGGAGAGGCATGTGAATCCAATTTGCATAGAATTATAGAGATCTAGCCAGATAAGCAACTTGAATGTTAATTTAGTACAGAATTTTAATCACCGTTCTTGAACTGTTATGAACTGTGACATCAGCATGTCCACAAATTTGTCTCAAAGCATAGCTTCTTTATTTTCTTTTGGAAGTATCGTGTTAATATATTCTAGTCTTTTAAAGACAAAATTAAGAGAAATAAGAAAGACGAAATAAATGGAGTATGACTGGATGAGTAGGATCAAACATCTTCTGCTGAAGGAATTTTTGCTTACATGTCATGGTTAATCGATAATCATATGATGTATTAACTGTTTTTTTTCATTTCTCTATGTATATCCGCATATGCTCTATATCAAAAAGTATAACTGCATTTGCTCTTCATTAAGTAACTTGGGTCATATGTGAAGTCTTGTGTGTATACATTAACCTATTAAAACTATACTAGATGTTACTCTTGATGTCTTCTCAAATGTTATATACCTCATTCTGAGGAAGTATTGCTGAATTTGATTGGTTGTTTTCATGTTGAATCTAAGTATTCGTTCTACATAGATGAGCACTCTTTGGTCAAATTCCATAACTCCATGCTATACTAGCGCTCGTTAGTTTGATTTTATCAGCCTTAGTGGTTGATTAACGATTTCTTTTGGCTCGTTCCGTTCATAGTTACATACTTTGATGATAATAATTTGGTGTCAGTGTCTTTTTCTTTTTTATTTAGCAATTTCTAGTCTTAATGAACATGGTTTTTGGTCTAGTTGAACCACCTATGTTAAAATGTTTAGTGGTGCAATTTGATTAATAAGCTTTCTTCTGCTCTTTTCCAGCCAATATTTCAAAGGCACCCACGACCTGAGAAGGAGTACCAATCTTTTTCACTCATATACAATGATAGATCACTGGATTTGGTAAGAGTTTCATTAGTGACAGCTGTGTCCTTTTTAGAGGGAAAGTCTTGTACGTATTCCATTGTCATTTGAAATTATTGCACCAACTAACTCTCTCACCTTCCTCTTCAATCTTATGTCTTAGATATGCAAAGATAAAGACGAAGCAGAGGTATGGTTTAGTGGCTTGAAGGCTTTAATCTCACGTGGACACCAGCGAAAGTGGAGAACAGAATCAAGGAGCGATGGAATTCCTTCTGGTGCTACTAGTCCCAGAACATATACGCGGAGAAGCTCTCCTCTTCATTCTCCTTTTGGTAGTGGTGATAGTTCACAGAAGGTACATTCTGTCTCGCACGTCTAACCATGCATATGCAGATGAGACTTTATATTTGTCAATAGTCATGTCAAATTTATATAATTTCATTTTGTTCCTCTAAGATGCTGAATAAGATCCTTTGTTTCCATCAGGGTGGTGGTGATCAGCTTCGCCTTCATAGTCCATATGGAAGCCCACCTAAAAATGGTGTAAATAAGGCATTCTCTGACGTAATTCAATATAGTTTACCTCCCAAGGGCCTTTTCACTTCAGATGCTGCTAGTGCTTCTATTCATTCCTTATCTTCTGGAGGTTCAGATAGCATACATGGTCAGATGAAGGCAATGGGGATGGATAACTTTAGAGTAAGCCTTTCAAGTGCTGTTAGCTCATCAAGTCAAGGTTCTGGTCATGATGATGGTGATGCGTTGGGAGATGTTTTTATCTGGGGGGAAGGGACTGCGGATGGTGTACTAGGTGGTGGACTTCATAGGATTGGCAGTTGTAATGGTGTCAAAGTAGATTCTTTATTGCCCAAAGCTCTAGAGTCTGCAGTGGTACTGGACGTCCAAAATTTAGCTTGCAGTGGAAAACACGCAGCACTAGTGACAAAACAGGGTGAGATTTTCTCCTGGGGTGAGGAATCAGGAGGCAGGCTTGGGCATGGTGTCGATTCTGATGTTTTGCATCCAAAGCTTATAGATTCCCTTGGCCATACAAACATTGAGCTTGTTGCGTGTGGTGAAAATCATACTTGTGCTGTAACACTTTCTGGTGAACTGTACACATGGGGTGCCGGTGATTTTGGTCTTCTTGGGCATGGGAATGAAGTTAGTCATTGGGTGCCCAAAAGAGTAAATGGACCCTTAGAGGGCATACATGTTTCTTATATCTCCTGTGGGCCCTGGCATACCGCCGTGGTGACCTCTGCTGGCCAATTATTTACTTTCGGGGATGGAACTTTTGGAGTTCTTGGTCATGGAGATAGAAAAAGTATTTCAAAACCCAGGGAAGTGGAATCTCTGAAGGGGCTCCGAACTGTTCGAACAGCTTGTGGGGTTTGGCATACTGCTGCAGTTGTTGAAGTCATGGTGGGAAACTCTAGTTCAAGCAATTGTTCGTCGGGGAAACTTTTTACTTGGGGAGATGGTGACAAAGGTCGACTTGGGCACGGTGACAAGGAGTCAAAACTTGTTCCTACATGTGTTGCCGCTCTTGTTGAACCCAACTTTTGCCAGGTTGCTTGTGGACACAGCTTGACAGTTGCTCTAACTACTTCAGGTCATGTATATACGATGGGAAGTCCTGTATATGGCCAACTAGGTCACCCTCAAGCTGATGGGAAGCTTCCTTGTCGGATTGAAGGAAAACTTTCAAAGAGCTTCGTGGAGGAAATAGCATGTGGTGCTTACCATGTCGCTGTATTGACTTCCCGAACTGAAGTTTACACATGGGGAAAGGGAGCAAATGGAAGGTTGGGTCATGGTAATACAGATGACAGAAACTCTCCCACCTTAGTGGAAGCTTTAAAAGACAAGCAAGTCAAAAGTATTGCTTGTGGTACTAATTTTACTGCAGCTATTTGCCTTCATAAATGGGCGTCAGGGGTTGACCAATCCATGTGTTCTGGCTGCCGCCTTCCTTTTAATTTTAAAAGGAAGCGCCACAACTGTTATAACTGTGGTCTTGTCTTTTGTCATTCATGCAGCAGCAAGAAATCGCTGAGGGCATCAATGGCACCAAATCCCAATAAACTTTATCGTGTCTGTGATAATTGTTGTAATAAACTGAAAAAATCTATTGAAACCGATGCTTCATCAGAGACTTCCATGAGTCGAAGAGGAAGCCTGAACCAGGGGTTAATTGATGGCATAGACAAAGAAACTAAGTTGGATACAAGGTCTCGATCTCATCTTGCTAGGTTTTCTTCGATGGAGTCCTTCAAACAAGTTGAAAGCCGCTCTTCCAAACAGAAGAAAAAGTTTGAATTCAACAGCAGTCGTGTCTCACCTATCCCCAGTAGTACCTCGCAATTGAGAGCTCTCAATAGTTCTAGATCTTCTAATCCAGTTTTTGCGTCATCCAAGAAATTTTTCTCTGCTTCAGTTCCCGGATCAAGGATTGTTTCTCGAGCAACATCACCAACATCTAGACGGCCCAGTCCACCTCGTTCTACTACACCAACTCCAACACTGGGTGGACTTACATCTCCAAGGATTGTAGTGGATGATGCTAAAAGGACAAATGAAAGTCTTGATCAGGAGGTTGTTAAACTAAGATCACAGGTAGGTTATTTGTTCACTATGCAACCATCTCCCTTTGATCCAGTTTCTTCATTTGGCTACATCTTGTTATACTTATAACTGATATGGATCCTGAACTATGCAATAGGTACTGATGCAGTTTCTTCACTTTCTACATCTTTTTATACTTGTTTCTGATGTGGATCTTGAACGTTGCAATGAGGTGCTGATTTGGCCCGTCAAAATTAAAAAGTACCAAACTGTCCTACTTTTGTGAGAAGTATTAAGTTGGATTTTGTCCAGCCGATGGTTGGAAAACTGAGATAGACGCTTGTGTATGAGTTTAATATGTGAGCGAACTTTTAATAGTGCGATGTGTCAAAATGCAAGACATCGGTTAAGAATAAATAGTATCGTTGGGCTTTCAGACACTCAATGGTGTGTATAACACAGTTAAATACTTGATGATTTGCTGGGTTTTTAACCAAAAAAAGTACTGGATGAGCAAAAGTGACAAGTTACACCTGATCTTATTGTGTAGAATGAAAAACTTATCCAAGTGCATAAACAGTATTATTTGACCAGATAAGTGATAAGCATGTTGATAAGGAGACGATGAATCATAGCTATTATAATCATAGCTGTTATCTGTACTATGTATTTTGTATTGATCTTTCAATTATTTTTTCCACTTTAAGGACACTATTTGGCTTCTCGGCAGAGGTACTGTCTCACGTCCTCTGGTTGCTGTACATCTGAACAGGCAAAAATCTACTCTAAAGGGCAGCAATCAAACCAATTTCTACTTCACTTAAAGAATAATGGATAGTTTCATTTGCAATAGAATGTCAAATCGCATGCTGTTGAAATTTTTTTTCTCTTTTGGGTGGTGGGTGGTGGGGAGAAGGGTCAAAACATGCTGTTGAATGTTGGAAGCCCAATTCAGAAGTCCTTCGTTACTTATTTATTTTTGAACCCCTAGAACCTTCCTTACTGTCAAGGTTTGTCTTCTTTATTCGAGGCATTTGGCATTCTATTCATTTAGGAAAAAGAATGGCACTTACTGCTATACATAATAGCTATAAGCCAAAATTGTGAATTTGTATGGAGACATAGAGGGTGCAATATCTTGCAATAAGATATTAGATGATTCTCAGACACATCATTTGAAATATGAATATCACCCATCCATTTTATCCTAAAATTCCTTATTTAAAGATACCCCTAACTTCTTCTCTTCTTTTCTCTTTCCTTTTTGCTTCTTGTTTTCTTGGGGAGGGAATAAATAGGTCGTCTATGTGTAAGTTGTGAGGCTTTATCTTCATAGGGAATGCAATAGGTTACAGTAAAAAATGCAAGCCTGTTCCTGACTTGCAAAGGTACTATATATTTTTTCTTTTTTAGCACTGTTTGACTATCTTCATTTTAGGTGGAAACTCTTACACTCAAGGCTCAATTTCAAGAGGTAGAACTAGAAAGAACTAGTAAGCAGCTGAAGGAGGCAATAGCAATTGCGGCGGAGGAGACTGCCAAATGCAAAGCAGCAAAAGAAGTGATCAAATCACTTACTGCTCAGGTGAGTTAGATTCTTTTAATCATTAGACTTTCAAGTTTTGTGTCATAGTTGTGCATATGTATGAAAAAATTGTGCTTCTCTTTTTTGTCGGCACAGAAAAAGTTAATGGTTCAATGAATGAGTTGAACACTTGAGCCAATATGTGTAAAAATATTTCTTGTCTGTAACTTTTCTTGCAAGCAAAAATAGGATAAAGATTTCATTCTACTTATAATTTCTAACTATAAACACCTTTCTTAAAAGAAGTCCAAATTATGAAGTAGGGTGAAAATGCTCCCAGACACAGTAAGGAATAGTTTCTCCTAGAATTTGCGTGATCTGCTAACATTTTCGTGTTTGGGGTTTTTTAGTCTGTTCCCTTCAATGTTCAGGTTGCATGGGCCATTGTTTTGCGCCATCATTTAGTATATCACCTTTTTACTCTAATATTCATACTCATCTCTTTGCCGCCCTTTTCAATTAAGATACGGATGATCTTCATTGAATCCTCTTTTTATCAGTTAAGAGGTACTTGATTAATTGCCAGCGACAAGTGAATGCTGGAATGTAATTACAGCCAGAAGTGAGCAGCATTGCAGATTCTGTAATATTTTAGTATGTAAATTATTATTAGAGTTCCAAGTTAAGAATATTGCATACATATGGTAGAATCATGTAGATATGGTAGAATCATGGATATGGTTTACATTAATTAGAATCAACTAGGAATCAATTAGATATGTTATTTCTTTGGAATTATTGAACCTTGATTTGTTTCCTAGTTTAGTGTAAGTGTATGTACTATTTAAACACCCTATAGCTCAATTCTTTCTCCCGTGTATTTCTTCATTTCTCACAGTTTCATTAGCTTCTCGTGCTAATTTGTATCGCTTTCGTATTTTTTATAGCTGAAGGAAATTGCTGAAAGGCTGCCAGTAGGTCCTGCCCGAAACATCAAATCTCCTAAATCTGTTTCCTCCGAGTCCAATATTACCTCTAGTGACATACCAAATGGCTGTATGGACCAAGTTCATAGTCAACTAACTTTTCAAGAGCTGGAGTCAAGTGTATCTAACAGCCATTTGCTTTCTAATGGATCAAGCAATGCTAGTAATCGCAGTGCTGCTCACAATAGACAGGGGAATTCAGAGGCAACAACAAAAAATGGAGGCAGAACTAAAGAATGTGATTCTCGTAACGAGAATGAATGGGTTGAGCAAGACGAGCCAGGTGTATATATCACTCTTACCTCCCTACCTGGAGGCGTCAAAGATCTTAAAAGGGTTCGCTTCAGGTAGGTTAAGTCAACGTTAAATCATAATGTGCAATTTTCTGTCTTTCTACATTATTCATCTAGTAAATGATCTCCTATTATATTCATGTGTATTTGCTGTTTCAGCTATAGACCTCTTTTTACTTGTCAAGATTGCCAAAACTTCATTTCACAATGATTATACAGTGAATATCATGTAATCTTTATTTTTGAATGGAATCAAGGCTAATGTATGTCAAAATCTGCAGTCGGAAACGGTTTAGCGAGAAACAGGCAGAACAATGGTGGGCAGAGAACCGTGCAAGAGTTTATGAGCTCTACAATGTACGCGTGGTCGACAAGGCAAGTATTGGCACTGCAAGTGTGGATTTAGCGCATTGAGATATGCAATTTACCATTTGTACATGAGCTTTCTTTTTCTTTTTGGTTCTAACTCAACTTCATGCCCCACAATGAGTATCATGTTGATCATAGAGGTTTAGTTTTCCACAAATTGGCATAGAAGAAGTAGGAATTAGATATTTGCTTGAAATTTTTTGCTATTTTTTTATAGCCTAGAAATCCCCGTTGAGTCCGCCCATCTACCCTTCCCTATTAAATACCAGGCTCTTGTGCGGCAGGATTCAAATCCGTGACATGCGCTACGTTCTTACCAGTAGACCATAGCTTTGGGGGCTTTCTATCATTCCTATGGGTTGATCTCTCTATTTGATTTTCCCCCTACCTTATTGCTGTGTGGGGTATAGAGATGTAAAGTTTTAGTAGGTTGCTTGCCCTTGTTGGGAGATGCTTCCTTGTAAATTTTTCCAAGTTAATGCATATTTGGATTTCAAATCCATACTTCTCTGTATTTCCTCGTGGTATTTTCAGTTTTAGCCCGCACCAGAAACTATTTACATTCGTAGCCAAAAAGTGTATAAAATTTGTATAATTTTTGTATATAACATACACAAGGTATATATATACAAAAAATATATTTTTTTTGACTACTATTTTGAGAGCGGCTATATGGTGTCATTTTCTCTATTTCCTCTCACTTGTAAATGGCTCTTTGGATTTGAAATACCTACTCTTTCTACATTCCCTGTTAGTTGCAAATGGCTGGTATAACATAACTGTTAATCCTCATGTTCAATTTTCCCTTTTGTTTATTCACTTATATATTATATTAATGATAATGGAGAATATATTAAAATAATGATTGAAATGTCAGTTTGATTACAATTTGGATAGTTAATTGCATTAAGAATTGTGAAAATTTTATAAAATGATGTCAAAAACGTCCCAAATGGAAAAAGGTCAAACAAGTTTTAAAAAAATGGAGTATAATAACTAAAAGCAGCAACAACAAACTCACTATAATTCCGAACAAGATAAAACTGCTTGTTAGTGTTACTGTACTCTAGCTCTGTCGTGTTTCATTAACCGAAGATATGACCTTTCTCTGCTAAGCCTTGGTGGTCAAAGTCATCCCTACTGGAAATAGTCCAGATGCTCACAAGCTGGCTCGAACATCACCGTCGTAAATAAAAACCTTATTCCCCTCTATTGTTTTATATAATTTTATATTTAAATTATTATTGTAGGTGATTAAAATATAGTTAAGTATAATTTAGTTTTAACATTAATAATTTTATTTTTTTAATGTCTGATTAGCCATTTGTATATGGAAATATGCTATATGAACCTCCTATCAAATGCAGTCCATAGTCTGCACTAGTTTGCGTAAAGGAACAAAGAACTAGTAATGGATATTTCATCTGCAAATGTTTGCCACTACTTGATTGTTATTTTATATTTATGAACTAGTCCCACAAATTGGACAAACTCAGCTCAAGAGCTTTAAAAACATCTACTAGCAATAAAAATTGATTTAACAAAAAAATTCCCTTCTAGTTTGTATACAGAATCAACTGAATGTAATTGAAAAAAGAAAATAGTTCAACAATCACAGGCAAAATTGGCCTTTTAACGCAAAGCTGTGACTACAGAGTATTGTGTGTTCAGAGGTCGTCATAATCATCAATAACTCAAAAAGAATTTTGATTGCAGCTTCTGTATTGTCTGTATGAGAAGAAGATACATCAAACTATTATGATACTTTATGCATTTCTGGTCCTCTCTTTTACCATAGTCTGAACAAATAGTTCTCCTGCTCGGTAGGAGGATCGAACCTGAAGAAAAGAACTTAGTCAAATCATAAAGGTTGCAGAATTAGAGTAGTCAAAACATTCCTGCAAACATGACAAATGATAATTGATATGATTAAGAACGAAGAAAGTCCGATTTCTCCTGTTTAACAAGAGTTGCCTTTGATTCACTAGTACCATTATGTTCTAGACGGGAGTTCCACATTGAAAAACTAAAATAAAATTTCAAAAGCAGGCTATGATTATCTAAAGGTAATTGATAATATTGTAAAATCTTACCACGGGGCCACTCGCAACATAACGGAAGCCAATAGACTCTCCATAGTCCTTCCAAAAAGCAAACTTTTCAGGGGTAACATATTCTTTGACGGTAAGATGTAATGGGGTTGGCTGCACAAAAAGAGAGAGAACTTTATTTAAGCCTACAGCTTTTTACATAGGATTTGAACCAATAAAGCAGCCACTTTCTGTCAAGAGGTTGAAAGCGGGTACCTATTAGCTCACCTGTAAATACTGACCGAGAGTCAAAATATCAACATCTATGGCCCTTAAATCAGCCATGGCTTCCTTCAACTCATCATCAGTTTCACCAAGTCCCAACATTATAGAAGTTTTTGTTATCATCCCTTCCTTATCGAGTTTTGCATGTTTAAGCACAGATAGACTTTGTTCATACCTGCATCATCCAATGTCAAATTATTTAGCATCTCATGTTAGTATACCATGTCTTGACGGCACCACTGATTATCATTATCATTATTATTATATTAGGGACAAGTAGCACAAAGTTATATTTTGATAACAGGTTAGTTCATGAATTCACAAATAAATGGTGAATCAGTTTATTCTGACACAAGAAATTATGCTTTGCTGCTTTAGAATTCATCATTTTCACATACAATTACATTCATCCAATAGGACTAGCTTGACTTAGTGCAAAGTCCAGTTTTCTGATTTAATTTTGCATTTCCATTATGTTCATCCTTCAGACTAATTGATGATTGTTTTACATGACATATTTGCTTTCTAGACTTGGAACTGATATAAACCAGATATCAGTTGACACTCCCTCTAATATATAACCAGGTTAAGTCACTGGTTGAGCAAAATAAAAAAAACTGCATCAATTGTAAGTATGACAAATGACGGCACAAACACAGAGATAGAGTTAGAGCAGGACTTGTAATGTTGAACAGAAGTATTCCATTAGTTATGACTGGAGTTTCCTCTTTTTTATCAGGAACAACATTGAGAGGTAAACTGATAGTCAACTTTCCTCATTAAAACCATTGAGAGTCTTTTTTTTTTTCTTTGACGTGCTTGGCAATACAGTGCTCAATGAAAAGAGAGTAAGGTCAAAAAGAAGAGACTTCCATCGGTTTGATACTTTAACTGCTGGTCAGATAACTTGATAAAGTATCAATTCTCATTGAGTCTTTTTTGGAAAACCAGTCATTCTAAAAGTTCTAATTCACAGAACTTTACACTTCCTAAACTTTGAGCTATCTGTCCTATTCAAAATGGCCACTCAGCGGCCTGAAAGTAACTAAATTGAACCTTCAAAACTTTGAGCAGATAGCACCTATATTCTTCAGCCCCCTCCTACCCCTTATGACAGTAAATGGAACGTATGTACAATTACATTTTGACCATAATATGACCTATTTAAAGGATAGTTAGAATTGCCAAAAGTACCAAAAAAGTCAAGCTCAAGTTTCATCCATAGGCTACCAGAGGGAAAAGCTCAATATCTTAATAATTAAAAAAATGCTAAATATCAAATGTAATAATCTTGCAAGTGCTATTTCTTAATAGATGTCTCCCAAATCAGCAAGTTCACCTTATAAAACGAATGTTTGGTAACTCATCAAATGGTACAGTAAAGGTATATTGAACAATATTTCAGTTCAGAATATATATATATATATATATATATATATATATATATATATATATATATATCTCAAGTCTATTAACATCTGGCAAACCCACTGGCTGTATAGAAAGGCTGCAAATGACAAAAAGGAGTATCATAGCAAAAAACTGAGGAAGAAAGTGTTTTCCAGAACTTACCCTGCCCTAGGATCTCTAACAATACGTTGAAGTCGTTTCACAGTTTCAATGTTGTGCGCAAAAACATCTAATCCAGAGTGAACTAGAGTAGAAACAGCACTTAGATCACCACGGAAATCAGATGTTAAACACTCCACCATGATATCAGGCTTGAGCAACTGAGAAAATAAGATAAGCACAAATCCAGTTACTTTCACTTGATCCAACCGTGTACTATGTACAATTACCCTTGAAAAAACACAAAATAATCTAGGCTTAGCAATGACAATAAACTCCAGACCTTCATGGCTTTGACTGTTTCAGCAAAGTGGCCACTCCCTCCATCAGGTAAATCGTCACGATCAACACTAGTTAAGACAATGTAATCCACGCTGCAGAAGAAAATCAAGGAACTCTTATTCCTACCACTTACATATACAAAGTTTAATATAGAAAACATAAGCTTCTTTGTAGCAATTTAATTAGCATTAGAAAGTGCTTCGACTTGGCAAAACACAGGCAGGAATTTGGGTATATATCTGTTCATCCAGGGTTAATTCAGTGTCCTATGGTTGTTCTACTAATTTCAGACACAAAGAAGATGAATTATGCTACTCACTGACAAATACTACTGGTTAAACAGTCACTCAATCAGCTAAGCCTCAATCGAAAGCTAGTCAGAATCAGTTATATGAACCGTGCGCTATTGGGGCCCGTCTCATTCAAAAACCAAGAAAGTTTTGTAAATATAGAAAATAGATATCATCTATTTCATCCTTACACCTACACTATTATACTGTGTGAGAATCCAATACCAAAACCTTAAATCCCTTTGTAAGTCCTTACATAACCATTTTTAAACAATCATATAACTCAACATCCTCCCACGTATTTAACTCGGTTTTGGAATCACATGTTAACTTTAAAATGCAGACTTACATGTGAACATTTTTTTCCAAAGGTTAGCTCATTAGACTTACATTTCCTTGTAAGTCCATCCCAAAAGAACGACACCTTTCTACATTTAAAATAATTTAAGTCAACACTCCCCATTTCACCCTTAATAGGAAGCTTTTGTATCCACACAAATGTTATGACATGTTTAAAATCACAAGCTTCAAAAGTCTTTCCTTTCTTTCTTAAACTCCCTGTCCAGTCAAACTATATAAATTTTAAATTAAGGTAATACTTACTAACCAAATACCTCCATTTGTTCCAATTTATATGATACTATTTCCTCATTAATCTGTTCTGAAAAGAATGACACACTCCCAGATTTGGAAATAATTAGCTTTACATTTCTCATTTTACCCTTAACGAGAAGTTTTCATAACTACACACAAATATTATGACATGTTCAAAATTACAAGTGCTAAAAAGTTTCTTTTCTTTCTAAGCCCGTGCTGAATCAAACACTGCCACATAAATCGAAACGGAGGGAACATTTCCTAATCAAACTAATATAAGCTCTCAAAATTTAATAAACAGATTTTTTTTTTAAAAATTACCCCCAAGAGGCAATAGCCTTAGCAGTGTTAACAGGTTCGAAAGGATCAGGAGGAGCAGGATTTCTACTAGTCTTAACAGCACAGAATCTGCAGCCACGTGTACACGTATCACCCAATAACATAATTGTAGCTGTAGCAATACCATCTCCACCACCATTCCAACACTCTCCAATATTTGGACACTGAGCTTCTTCACATACTGTGTTAAGTTTAAGCCCAGATAATGTTTCCTTCACCTCTTCATATTTTTCCCCTTGTGGGGCTTTTTGTCTTAACCAGCTTGGTTTCTTCACTGCCGGATCTCGACCCGTAAACGGACCCATTCCACCCGGATACGGTGGTGGCCCATTTGTGGGCGGTGATTTGGGTTTCAATTCTAGTGATTCACATCTAATGGTAAATTTTCCCCTTTGTTTTGGTGGTGAAAATAGTGCGGAATTTGGTGAAATGGGGTTGTGTTTGTTGATGGGTTTATGAAGAGGAAAGTGTAAAGGAGAAGATGAAGAAGAACAAGAAGACATTGGAGATATTGGGAAAGATTTTTGAAGGTACGAATAGAAATTCTAGTTAAAGAGAGAAATGTAGAGAGAGGAAGAAGAAGAAGAAGAGGGTTGAAGGAAAGATATGCTGAAAATGGCGGATTTAATTTTGGGATTCTCCATTGAAGTATCCGCCTGCAATTTTGTTAGGTTAGCAATTCAGGAAAGTGGTTACTGAAGGTTGTTTTTATTTTTATTTTTTTCTTTTTTTATTATTTTCAAATATTTTTTAAAATTTTTGTTTTATTACGTACTACTCCCCATTTCAAACAAGATTTTCTTTAATTATATTTTTAAAAATAGTTTATAAAATATTTTAAATTGTTTATTATTGCGATTAGACGAGGAAAGGCTCGTATACAGGCCTAACATTGTAATCTTAAAATTGTTGTTTGTCGGTGTTCAATTAATTTTTTGATAAATAAATCGGTCATTGTTATATCCATTTAATAACATATAGAGAATGATATTGGGGATCACAATTTACACTTAATTTATTTTAATAATTTACAAAAAATTAAACCATAAATTATAACATGCTTAAGTTGCTCTAATTATTGACATAAAAAGACTATGTGCTATAATACTCATTTTAACATCAATGTCAAATATAAACATCAAATTATAATATTGATTGAATGGTATTATTTTCCTACTATATTTGAATTTTTAACAAGATAATACATTAAAGGTACAAGTGTAATCTATATTAATAATTTTTTACAATAAAAAACTTACCGATCTATTTGTAAACTAATTTTGAATACATCCAATTTGGTCTTGCAAGTGTTTCAATAGTGGGAACAATTGGCTATCTGATGAACGTTAAAACGAACAACATCATTCTTTACAATACGAGAAAAGTTGAAAAAAAAACTTATGATTTTACTTTATGTCTTGTATACAACAAAATCAAGAGAAAAGTTTAGTACAGTCAACAAAAAGAACTTCCATGGGGACTTGCATCCCTAAAGAGGCAATTTACTACTTCAACAAAGAGAACCAACTGCACTAAACAAATATTAACATAATATAAATTATAGTAATTCAATATAGTAGTTCAAATTATATTTTATTATTACTCGTTTAAAATGATGTTACTTGTGATAGGATAATAAATATCTGATAGAAGTCTATATAAATTATAGGGATTTTAATTTTTTTCTTAATTAAGGATATAAGAGAAATATTTTTATTTTTTTATAGATTTATCATATGTTAATTTTTATCATGAAATAATATAAGATATTTTAAGACAATTTATAGATTGTTGAAAACTTATCATGGAAGAATGGAATTCAAACCATATAAATCAAATTTTCACATCAATTAAGTACATAGGAGATAATCTCCTAGAACAGATGAACAAATATCATCACTTAGATTAACTTTTAAGGTTTAACAAACTATAGTTTTTAAAATTACTTTGAATATAAAACTTTTAGGTTGAAATTGCCTTCAAATAGTGTGAATACAGGAAAACCTTTTAATTTTATTTTTAAATTATGTTAAAATAGTAAGGATAAATATGAAATTTTTGTAAATATTTATCTATAGTTCTTTTTGTTGCTTTATTATTTAAAAATTAAATTTACTTTTTCTGTGAAAACTTTTAGTTGACTAAAACAAAAATTAATAATTTGATCAAATGAGAAAAAATATTCGAAATGAATATTTGCATGGAGTAACTCTCTGCAAAAGTAGTGTAATGAACAGTACATTTAACTTATAAAGGAGTGTTGTGGTCAGAGTATGTGGGGTCCACGTATATCAAGGAGGACACAATTTGCATTTAAGAAATGCAAACAATACAATAATTTTTTCCGAAATGACACATATGCCCTTGGTAGACCATCTTTCCTTTTCTATATAATAGAAATTTATTGTACTTTTTACTTACTTTCTAAATACTAGTTTTTGGGTACGTGCTTTGCGCGTGTAACCAATACCAATGAATATACTATTTTAAACTATATAAAATATTACTAAATAATATGATGGCTAATAAAAGAAAAGTTTAAAAAAGTATAAGCTACTATAAAGACGAATGTTGATCCCATTTATCAGAGAAATCTTGGCCATAGAAGTCCTCAGATATATAACTGTGATTTATGAGGACTTCTGGGAGAATATTTCACAAAAATATTGATATATTTATGACCTAAACAAACAAATAATAAGATTTATTAAATAAAATAAATTTAAAGATTAAATCTTTTGGTCTTTTGGGAATAAATATTGTATACGATCGAGATCGTATGCCTTCGATCTAAATGCTCGAGGAGTCGTCCAAAGTCCAAGCTCAAGCAAGATCGAGTTCGAGCTCGAGGGACCATATCCGAGTTCGAAGACAGAGCACAACATCCGCCGAGGTCGAGTATGCTCGACACCAGAATAGTACTGTTATGGACTTGTAACAGAATGTGCTAGATTCCTGCCAAGTCCCCAAGATCATGGCGCAAATCCCGGAATATCATTGTACGATTCCGTACTAGGCGGTTAGAAAGCTGTATCAGGAATATTCCCTACTGTAAATAGAAATATTCCATATTTAGGATTCCCCTATTATATAAAGGGGACCCCAATCATTTGTAACATCACCTAATCATTGAGAAAAGAATATACTCTCTGCTTTTTGCTTACTGTTCATTAGAATTGTCCCTTAGCTCTACTGCACTTACTTTACTTTTCTTGCTTCATTATTCTTATTGCTCTTAACCCACCTCGAGGTCACTAAGCTCGAGGTCACTGCTGCTGAGTTATATTGGTTTGATACACTTATTTCTTTTACCTCTACTTCATATTTCTTGATTATTAATTGGTATTGAATCTAATCACGTATCTTTAAAACCACAAATCAAATTTGACTGTTACTCGTATTTTCGAGGTAAACAGTTTGGCGCCCACCGTGGGGCTAAAGATAATAGTGATTGTTTCTTTACTGATTCTTATTGCACACGTTATTTTTACACTTTTTCTTGTCAAGTTTTGATTCTCAGACTGAAACATGTCTAGCTCACAAAATGCACCTGTTCATGACAACGAAGGTCCTGAAAAACAACAATGTAGGGGTCAGTGTACCACTGGTAAACCCCGGGGAAGTGCCAAACATGGAACCAGTTGATGTTAGTTCTCATATTGCTCTAAACACCAACTTAGGCACAGACCTCGAAAGGAGTGTACGCAGGGAAGCCCGACCAGGGGACCAAGGAACACCGGGAACAAGAGATGGGGGATTCAGCCTCCAAGTGATATTCGAGATGCTGCAGGCTCAGCAAATCGCCATCGCTCAACTTCAGAGTCAGAATAAAACTCCAAATATTGCCGAACCAGTAAACTCTCGACATGCTGAACCGGCGCCAGAAAGACCAAATGAAAGCGGCTCGGGGACTGACCCCACGATTATGAAGATGCTCGAAGAGCTCACTAAGAGGATCGAGTCCGGAGAAAAGAAAATCGAAGACAATGATAAGAAGGTGGAGACTTATAACTCCCGAGTAGACAATACCGGGGGCACCTCCAGTTTTGAAAGGATTAGATGCCAAAAAATTCATACAAAAACCATTCCCTCAAAGTGCGGCTCCGATGCCCATTCCCAAAAAGTTTCGCATGACCGATATACCCAGATATGACGGAACAACCGACCCCAACGAGCATATTATTTTATACACTTGCGGGATCAAAGGAAATGATTTGAATGACGATGAGATCGAATCGGTCTTGTTAAAAAAATTTGGAGAAACGTTATCGAAAAGAGCTATGATTTGGTATCACAACTTATCTCCTAACTCTATGTACTCGTTTGCTATGTTAGCATATGCCTCCGTGAAAGCACACGCCGGGGCCATAAAGGTGGCCACGAGAAAATCGGATGTCTTCAAAATAAAACAAAGGAATGACGAGATGTTAAGGGAGTTCGTGTGCAGGTTTCAGATGGAAAGAATGGAATTACCACCGGTCTCCGACGACTGGGCAGTACAGGCCTTTATGATGGGTTTGAACGAACGGAGCTCGATTGCATCTCGACAATTAAAGAAGAACTTGATCGAGTATCCAGCTGTGACATGGTCATATGTACACAACCGTTACCAATCAAAAATCAGGGTCGAGGACGATCAGTTGGGAGCCCCCTCGGGTTCGGTTCATCCTAACTGGTTCACGGTCAAGCCCTCGAGGGATAGAACAAGGAATCGAGATCGAACAGGTAACGGTATCAACCGTACGTCGATCGATGGAACAACGGTTAAGGTCGGAACTCTCCTCGGAACGATACGAGAAACGATCGAGGTCAAAGTTCTCGGGGACTCATGAGTAAAAGCAGATTTGATAAGCATACCGATCACGCAGAGGCACCTCGATTATCGGAGTACAACTTCAGCGTAGATGCATCAGGGATTGTGTCAGCTATTGGAAGAATCAAAGACACCAAGTGGCCCAGGCCTATACAGACCGATCTTTCTCAAAGGAACCCGAATTTGATGTGCAAGTGCAGACAACTTAGGGAAGAAGTGGCTCAGTTATTCAACGAGGGTCACCTTCGAGAATTCCTCAGCGATCAAGCCAAAAACCACTTCAGGGAGAGGGATGCAAGGAAAAATGAGCAAGAAGAACCGCAACATGTAATCCACATGATCATTGGCGGGGTCGATGTCCCTCAACGGCCTATATTCAAGCGCACCAAAGTATCAATCACAAGAGAAAAACAGTCTCGGAGCTATGTGTCTTATCATTCTGTGACGAGGAAACAGAAGGCATATCTTAGCCTCACAACGACGCCCTGGTAATCTCTATACTTTTGAATAAAATTCAAGTTAAACATTTAGTAGATGCAGGTAGCTCAGCAAACATAATCAAATCGAGGGTCGTGGAACAACTCGGCCTACAAGATCAGATTGTACCTGCATCTCGGGTCCTGAATGGCTTCAACATGGCAAACGAAAACAACAAAGGGAGAGATTATCTTACCAGTAAACGTAGTCGGGACCATATAAGACACTAGGTTCCATGTGCATCGAAGTTGACACGAGGTATAACGCACTCCTAGGGAGACCATGGATACACAACATGAGGGCAGTGCCTTCAACTCTTCACCAGATGATGAAATTCCCAACATAGGAAGGAGTGAAAACAGTCTATGGAGAGCAACATGCTGCGAAAGAGATGTTTGCAATC